AAAAAATACCAAATGTCTCTACACTGGCGCCCGAACTCAAAAGGGTGTTGGATGATGATTCTCCACACCCAGGATTTGGCGATTGGTTTCCCTAAAATAAACCCAGTGGCCCTTTAAATGGGGGAGTATATAAGGTAATTCTCCCGCCTTCCTAGCGTGCCTTTGTGGTGTAGTGGTTCTGCATGCTGGACCGCTATTCCAGAGGTCCGTGGTTCGATTCCCAGCAAAGGTGATTGCTCATTTTTCATCTTGCCTGCTTCCAAAAAATACCTAATGTCTCTACAGACATACATCCACTGTGGAACAAGTGCATTGGAGGTACGTTCAAAGATTGTTATGCTTCTCCATACCATAACATATGCGTTCCCTTGAAGGTTATATTCCATGACATTAACGAGATTGCGTTGTGTTGTTGGCTCTCTACAGATGTATCTAGAATCAAAAATTAAATTGGATTTATTTTTTTATTGCGTGTTCCATGTTTAGGCACTGCAAGGAAAGGGCTTTTAAAGTATAAATTCACGTTACGCATAGGAGAAAAGAGAAAAACACCCATGCAGCCAGTCCGTTTCCTGGGACCTGAACCTCGAACCGAACTAAAAGTCTTGAGCGGCTTTCGCCACTCGGCCGCTGGTGAGCATTAATTCAATTTTCACTCATGACTGAAAACTACGCAGTCCCTCTGCTGTAGCCTCGAATTCTGATGTTACTTTTTTTTTTTAATTTAGTAGGATATCCTTTTGTTGTGATGTCATTGTACATAAACTATTGGCATTTTTGTATAAAATCTCTTCTCAGCAAGCTTTATTTACACGTCTTTCTTAAATAAAAAATTTCAGTGTTGTCTGCAAAAGCAGCGATTAGCACAGAACTTCGGAAGGTTGAATCATATTTACAACGTTCCTGTCTAAGTTGTCAAAACTCTCTCTCAACTTAGATTTTCACTCGTTGTTAAAATAACAAAATTTGCATATCTAGTGAAGTAAACGAAAACGCAGAAGCGCAGAAAAGATTCAGCATGAGAAATAATATGCTAATTAAAATAAGCCTTACACAGCTAATTCTCGGTTTAATTACCTAAATTTTAGTGGGTACGAGGCAATTTATGAAGCATCGAAAACAAAGCAATCTTCCATGGTAATGAGAAAGAAACTAAAAAAGTGTTGTATGATGAGCTTTCACGTCGTTATTTTTAATTAACTATTGGAAAAATTCCTTGAATAAACCTTATTTTGGGTCCGCATTTCGTAATCCCTCGATGCTTTTGTAGAGAAAAGAATGTAGTTTTAAATACGCATTCTTAATTCTAATATATTCTTACCTTGCAGATTAATTAAGGGGTTTAGAACGGGCTACGATCAATTTAGAATATTTAAGTGATTAAATGATCGAACAATAAATAAGCTTTTAGAGAAATGCAGTCTTGTAATTTTTTTAAAATTAGACTCGCTGTTTGTTAAAAAACTGTTCAAAAATTGTAACATTCTACATCATTTACTGTGTAATTTACTTGTACGGAAAGTATACGCATTTTGAATTTACTGTTCTATGTACGAGAGCTGCTAATATGCTACGGACGAAAAGGTGGCATTTTGCATCGATTAAAATAATTTCGAGTAAATTAATGCAGTCATCGTCTTTTAAGATACTAAGGAGAAATGCTTATGTTGCTACCAAAAATAATTTAGGTAACAGATTAAAGATTAAAAAAAAGTGTTTAAGACTTTTAAAGCAATAAGTAGCAATAATTAATTTAGCTGATGTTATCTTATTTCAATTTGATTAATAAAAGGAATTTTCTTTGAGAGCTTTACAGATTTAAATTTGTGTTTTGAGTACCCTACAGCAATAAGTAAATAGAACTGGGGGCAAGACGGAGTTTTTTCCCCCAAACACAACTCCCAGCATATGAAGCCAATCTTTAAACTCCTCTCCTAATGTCAACAGCCTTGTGAATACTTAAGAAACTTAGTTTATTTGCACTAAGTAAAGAATGCGCGTTTTCTTCTTATATGAACCCTTTGAGCGCCATAGCCGGCTTTATCAGGTCATGAGATTTTTTTATTACTTTGTATATATTAGCGTAGAATTAAATATATTTTGATTTCTAACTTTCTTTAGAAAAACATAACTGTCACCTTGATAAATATAAGTTCATGAAAATAAGTAATTATACAAATTTAGTGAATAAATGCTGTTTAAGTACAGGAATTCATGATCAATACTAAAGCTAGTTTTTTGGTACTTTAGACAACACTCATGAGCAAAAATATATATATGATGTCAAGTTGCTTGTGATTTAAAAAAAAAAATGTGTGAAATGCAGAAATTATTAATTCTCAGTAGAGTCAATTAGGTAGTCAATAGTATTGATATTTTTCATTGACATGTTTGAGAAATCCTTTGCGATATTGCATAACTAAAGGAAAATATTAGCTTTTTGATGCTTAAATGCTTATGCAGATATAAATTGTGGCTTTCACGAATGAGCTTAAAACCGAAAATAGTTCGTTCTTTTCAGTTTGTTCCTAATAAAATGCTTCTTTTAATTCTAATAAATGAAAATAAAATAACGTTATTTGGGGTCAGATTTGTAGGTATTTGTCTACTCTTATATTCGTTAACTTGCGATTAAAATCGATGTAATTCAGTTTCTTCGAATAATAGAAATTCATGAAATGAAGTATAAACCAGTATAAAAGCTGTATATAGCAGAAAAGCTCAGTTTAAAACTTTGTAACTATCTTCATGGATTATGAAGAATAAGTGATGGTTGAATCCATTGTACAGCATTTAGTTCTTAACAACTTCTTTAGAAAGCTGTGAAAATAAATGGTTTACAATATTTCGTTGTAAATAGTTATAAAATTTTTAAGTTTCAAAGACCTTCATGCTTTCATCGTAGTTCAGGAACTTTTTACGAACAATAATATAAATTATCATCTAATTACGGCCATTAGTTATTTGTTTTCTTCATCAATAATGATACAAAACTATAAACATTGCTACTTACAAAACTATAAAAAACTATAAACATTAAACTTAAACAAACTTATAAAATATGCACGATGCAAGATAAACATGAAGGAAGAAAAACTGATATTATTTATCTTATTTGCTCTGGAATGATCCGATTTACATAGTTTCTTAAATTAATTCTAACATACACGTTTTTGGAGCTTAGATATTCATATTTTCTTCTCAGTAAACCTGAAACAAAGGTTTCAGTTGACACCAAAACCAAAAGGATGCTATGCTTTCAAAGAAGGAATAATTTTCCTACAAAACTTCCCAAAAATAACTGTGTTTTTACATTACATCGGATAAAAACGCCGGAAGATCTCATTTAGTTAGTCAATGGAATTTAAGAAATGAGATTTAGATCAACCTGTAATGTATTTTCTTCCTCCTTTCCGCGTGCCCTTGTTGTGGAATTGGAAGCACATCTGGCTAACGTAGGGAGGACCGGAGTTCAAATCCCGTCCAGAGCATCTGATTTTTCTCGTTTTCTGCTTCTAAGCCGAAATGACTCGACAAGTGACGCCCGAGCTATAGTACGATGGTCAACAATTCGTCACCACCAGGATCTAGTGATTAGGTCCCCTCCTTTCCTGTCCTCCTTTGAGTGAGCCAGAATGTAAGGAATTTTCTCCATCCTTAACACGAGCCTTCGCGATGTAATTGGAAATACATCCGGCAAACACTAAGAGCTCCATAATTGGAATCCCGGCGAGGGTATTGCTGACTTTTCTTGTTTCCTGCTCCAATAAATATCTAAACGCTCTATAAATCTATTTCTATTGTTTTATCTATTCAACCTATGTAGAGCATTCCAGATACTTGAAATACTGGCCTGTGACTATTGCATAAGTATTTCTATGTGCATTTCATCTTAAACCTTGAAAATTTTGTCATGTTGTTTTATCATAACATCATTTTAAAAGTTATAAGTTTGTAAGGTATTATTATTTTCTACTTGTTGAAAGTTGAAAATTAACCTAATTAAAGTCTTGCGAAATCATGCTAATGTCTTAATACGCAGAGTGAAAGCGAAATGAGTTTTATATCTATTTTTTAAAAGTTTGCGAAAAATAGTATGCTGCTCTTAAATTTTAAGAAATAAGCTTAAATTATTACAAAACTGTTAAAGTTCTTTATTTTACAGTGGTAAACGCATTCACACTAATATATTTTAAAGTTAAATTTTGCCTTAAAATCTTCGCTTTTTTTTTAATCTAAGGTGAGTTTTTTACTTAATTTATAGCTAATTTTTACCCATCCTGATACATCATATATCTATACTTTTACATGCAGGTAACTGCATTTAAAATTTCAAGTCTGCCTCTCGTTAAATGCAGGTAAACACTGTGGAAACATTTCCGATACTGATACGTTTTCTGCTTATGCTAACTATACGAAATTTGTGTGATATTTTATTAACACATGAACAGCATGTTTACCAAATACGATTTTTAATGTTTTGTTCCCGAAACTAAGAGCTCTTCTTATTTAAGTCAAAAAGTAAGAAACAAACATGCAGAATTTTTTTAACAGAAATACTTTGTTATTTTTAATTTTTAAATATTTAGATTAAATTAATAAATTAAAAATTAATAATCAGGCTTAAGAGCTCTTTGTCTAAGGAATGCCTTCTGGGAGGTTATTTTATTTATATTTCTGAAAACTACTTCTATTGGTTTGCTAGAAATATCATTCAAATCATTTTAGGGAAGCAAATTGCTTGTATGCGTTGGGAAAATAGCATTGCAAAGTCTCAAAACATCGCAGAAAGTAGCAGTAATTTTCCAACTAAACACTAATCAAAAGAATCTAAATTAATTGCTTTATTTTTTATGAACAGATGAAATTCCGTTGCTTGCATGTGATAAATACTAAAATAAGGTTTCTTATCTGTTATTGTATACAATATAATAAATATTATACATCTTTATAATGTATGAACTTTACCCTTGATTCACCATCATATTTATTTTCTGCAGTTTTGACGTTGATGATGGTTCTCCACAACCTCGCACATTATTGGACGCTGCTAGTCCATCCGCGGGTCTTCTGGTACAAAGCTTTCCCCAGCGACGGGAATCATTTTTGTACCGTTCGGATCATGACGTCGACACATCACCGAAGGCCTCCAGACATTCTTCACAAGGCAGTGATACGTGAGTATTTATATACTGTTTGACAATTTAAGTACATATTTTATTCATTGTATGGATACACTCCAGTTAGATATTACGTCGTTTCACAAAGGGAACCTATCTGTTTCATGTCAGTAACTTTCGAAATTCATGTCCACAGCTACTGACAAATTATTTTACAGCCATTCTCAAAGCTGACATCGTAAGTAACTTCTTCACTGCTTCTCAAAATTGATTTCGTAAATATTTCGCGAAAAAAATAAATAAATAAAAATAAAAATGAATAAATAAAGTAATCTTGAATCAACTGTTTCAGCTTATACCAATGACATTTTTTGCAGTGAATAAGCTGTACCTCAAATAGTCTTATCAACCTTTTAATAACAATAACTGACTAGAATGCTTGTAAAGTTCTTTCTTTTACAACTAAATTGGACTAAATTATTTAATTCGGGGAAATCCCACAAAGGACAGCTGCCTAAGTTCCTTTCCAATTTTGACCATTAGCATTTTGGAGGATGGAATCCGAGAATAACGAATAACTTTTTCCATAACATTAACTTCTCCAGGTCCTCTTTTTAAACCCACAAATATTGTTATAAAAATTGTGCTCCTATTGCAACTAGTTAAGGTTTATGTGAAAAACTTTGACAGTTGTTATTTATTCTGCGTTTCGCGAATAAAGAACGATTAAAGAAATAAAGAGGTATTAGTTTTGTGTACTAAAATAAGATTAAAGAAAATAAGATTTAAACCAATTAAAAGAATAAACGCTGTCTGATTAATCTGAATATAAATCTGATGTAATTCACGTTTTATTTTATATCAAGAATTTCGACTCATATGGAATGGTGTACTTGGTCGCTGACCTATAAAAACAATCGTTTTTTTATTTGGCCACAAGACTGTAAAGACCTTATCTAAAACACGAAATTTTAATCAAGTTTGTCTTTGTTTCAAAGTTTTCCAATGCAGTTTGAAAATTTATTTAGATTATTAATCACAATTCTATTACGAAAGAATGTTCTGACCGTTTCATTCTTTCCATGATATAAATGTCTTCGTCATTCTTGGATAGTGGACAGTTTCATTTGTCTAAGCTCGAGAATACGCATGGTGATGGTCGAGTTTCTGTTTTTTAAAATGAAGTAATGTGATTTAAATAACCAGGCTTTTGTCCAGGGAATAAACAATTCCATGCCCGAGAGGGTTTTTTGGTTACTTTCAACAGCCACTGAAAGATGTTTGAATTTCTTTTCTGAAAATTATTCTGAAAAAGAAAAAAAAAAGAAAAAAAAAAAAAAAAAAAAGGAAACGATTTTCGTTTGAATAAAAGCCTACGTCATACCACTCTTCTTTGAATAGAGTTTTGGTAAACCAATACTTAGATTTTTTTTTACAGGATACACAATCCTATACCTGAAAAGAGCTTCATATTTAGTCCAAGAGTAGACATTTGAATTCTGCACTGAATAACAGATATTTGAATCTTTCTCTTTAAAAGCATTATAAACAAAACAACGAACATTTTTGCACAGATTGAAACGCACATCATGCCACACTGTTAGTCAGTGAGCACTTTAATTTCAACCTGTGAATGTAAATAAGACTTTTATTTATTTATTTTTGTTATAAAGTATAACTAAACTTCCTAAAAAGTTAAAAGCAATCAAAAATTTTGTGAAGAACGTCACTGGATTTCGTTGTGTGTATTTTCTTCGCTGGCTTATTCATTACCTTTGAGTCTAAATAATAAATCAATTTAACTTCATTAATATATTTTTATATCCTTCATATTTTATAACAGACGTAATAATGATCAGAAGTTACGGCAAGCTTGTAGGTCTAAAACTTAAATCTATTTCCAAAGAAAAATTCAACTAACGGAGTTGACTTCAGCAAATATCAGCGAGTTTCTGCTCAGACTGCAATCAACTTACACAAGAACAGATTTAAAACTCAACTTTATTCTGCATCTTCTGATAGGCTACAACTAAAGACAGACTTTATAAACTAAAGGATGTATCTTATTGACTATAAATAATTGGTTACAATTAGATGAAATGATTTGAAATGTACAAGTACCAGAATGATCTCGCTTAAAATAAGACATATAGGGTTTTTTTTTTTTAAATTTTTTATTTTTTTTTTTTTATTTTATTTTAGCAAATCATTTTTATGATGATCGTGTCTTTGTATGTAGGGTTCCGTGGCTATTGGCAAAATCCATTCTTGCGATAATGGGAGACACTTCTGCACCGATGGCATTATGATCAAAGTAGCCACAGCTTTCCATAGCCCATCCGCTGAGACCCAACTATTGGTGTTCAACGAATGTTACCGCTCAGCTGCCGTTGGGCCTGATTAAAATTAGAAAATTCGTCCTCAGAAATACTTTCTTTACAAACTGTACGCAAAGGGAGCACTGAAGAAATTTTCTCTCAAAGAAGTGCTTCGAAGTTCAGGCAGCTCCATTTGTATTATGTCAGCAATATTAGCACTGAATGGTTTAGAAAATAATTCTAAAGAAGACTTCTAGTTGTAAAAGTTACTGAATCTCTTTGAGTACGATTTAAGTAGGAAGATCCACTGCCATCCTTCAGGATGAGAGCCTTGTCTTCAGGATTTTAATCAGGCCCAACGGCGGCTGAGCGGTAACATTCGCTGAACACCAATAGTTGGGTCTCAGCGGATGGCTATGGAAAGCTGTGGCTACTTTGATCATAATGCCAGCGGTGCAGAAGTATCTCCCATTATCGCAAGAATGGATTTTGTCAATGGCCACGGAACCCTACATACAAAGACACGATAATCATAAAAATGATTTGCTAAAATAATAATAATAAAAAACTATATATCTTATTTTAAGCGAGATCATTCTGGTACTTGTACATTTCAAATCATTTCATCTAATTGTAACCAATTATTTGTAGTCAATAAGATACATCCTTTAGTTTATAAAGTCTGTCTTTAGTTGAAGCCTATCAGAAGATGCAGAATAAAGTTGAGTTTTAAATCTATCCTTGTGTAAGTTGATTGCAGTCTGAGCAGAAACTCGCTGATATTTGTTGAAGTCAACTCCGTTAGTTGAATTTCAGTATACACCGCCGAACAAGTGGGCTCCGTCTGCTTAGGACAACGTCAAGTGTCTGTGGGATTCCATGCGGGATGGAATTGCAGCATTAAATGGGACGATGGCCTTTTGAAAGGCTACTACCTCTTTACCGCTAGGTCCTCCTGTAATTGCTTTGCTTCTCTGATTCTGCGATCCTCAGCATCACTCCTTTCTCTCAAATCATCATTAAAACTGTAATTTAGCCCGACGCTTTGTTCTTTGTGTAGTAAATAACTTTGCTGTCCTTGCTGTTGTAACAGCTAAAATAAAGTAAAATAAAAAATTCTTATAATGAACATCACTCGGAAAAAACTTTTGTGCAACTGAATTTAACCAGCGGTTGAGCGGTGAGGTCGTTGAATACTAATAGTTCGACGTGGGTTTGATTCCAGGCAAACTGGCTGGATGCAAGGGCGTTTCAGTAGTTTTCCTTAAGTGTAACATGGATACGAGCCTGTTTCCCTTAGAAAACCCTTCATGAAGGCATCCTTCTCTTAGGCAGATTAGTCGTTGTGTACTTTGCCGTAATCAAATTAACAAACAATTGAAAACGAATCAACGTGTACATCCGTTAAGAGAAGTAGAAAGAAAATAATGGAAAATGTATCTGCTGATTATCATAATACAGATATAGTGAGATATCGTACATGCTTTAGAGAAATTAATATTGAAATATTAATTAAGAATGAAGAACATACATATTCTGGCATTTGTAAACTTTTCTTTCCTTTCTTAATCTCATTCTGAAGTTTAAAGAGATAGTTTGAAATTACTTTTGAAATGGTTAAACCAAATCCCTTTCCTAAAATGAAATTTGAAGTTACTTTTTCTACTAAACCTGCAAATAAATTTAAAATAACTGTTGCAAATAATAAAATTCCTTTTGTAGCTAAATGACAAAGAGAAAAAAGTTTCTAGACACCTAAATTTTTTCTATTACTGAAAGTGATTTTCATAACTGAAAAATGACTTTCTTTATTAAATAAAGCCTTTTCATCGAGGTTATAACTAAATTAATACACAGAATCGATCGTTTCTAATTTTACTTTTTATCTTCCTTTTCCTTGTCTTTTTACTTCACAGTTTTTCTATTCCAAAACTTTTACAAGTTCATAACTCAGAGTGTGAACAAATGGAGAAAATTTAATAGATATTTTTAATCTGTCTCGAAGCAGCAGATTTATTTTTAAAATATGGTATTTTAATAGAGATGCACGCTTTTAATAGAGATACGAGATTTTAATAGAGACACAAGCTACTTTAAATACAAGCTGCACAACTGCCCATATTTTATTCCTTCTGGCCTCCTGTTAGGGAAGATACAAGAAGTTATAACTCAAACCTTTCTCCACTTTTACTCTTCAATAAACTTTTCATCAAGAAGCGAATAGTTAAACTATATGTTGAAAATGAGTTAATTGATTTTCAAGTTTTACGCCTCAAAGTTTGCGCTTGACTACAATAGCTTTAATGTGACTAAACAAGTAGTGTACTAGTTGATCTTTGAATTGCAGCCGTATATTTAGGTCATTCATGACCAAAGAGATGTCGGTCGAAATGGGAACTTCTGCCATCACTTTGGATTGTTTGTTTGTTTGTTTTCGTAACCATGAAGTCATTTAGATGGTACCATGGTACCTCAGAGATAGCTAAGGCGGTAAAGACCGCCTTAGCTATCTCTGAGGCAATTTGCTTCATATATATCTTTTTGGGGGCAATCCCTAATTTTCTGCACTGCAGCCAAGATGGGGGGGGGCAGGAGAAATTGTGGTCTGGTCCATTCCGATTCCAGGGCAGTTTCTGCAGACAGTGTAGGTTCTTGTTTTGCCTGACAAGATTTTCATCCCTCTGAAATTAACAGTCTTGCCAATGTTTTGTAAGTAATTATGTTGGCGTTGAGTTCGCA